TAAATATCAATGCTGACATGTAGATAAACATACCAGACCTTGAGGTAGCTTATTATCTTCCCATGAGGGATTTACGAAGCTGCAGCATTTCTGATTCCACCATCAAATGCGTCACTTGTCTGTAAGAACTGTTATACAATTATGTATGGTTTAGCTTACTGCATCCAAACTCAGGAGACAATTCTGGCGCTCAAAGAGACAGAGAGCTAGGGCCTCAGATTTCTCCTCCATCTTAAAGACAACTGGTTCAGTAACAGCATATTCATAAAATTCCTGTAAGATACACTGAGGGTTTCTGTACACAAAGATGCATGGAGTACATAGATTTAACAAATTTTGAATATCTTCCTCGGATATTTCTTTAAGAACAGTACATATGGTACCGCTTTAATTCTTTCCAAAACGCGAAACGATTTAAATATGCTTTTCTCTAGATACAACGAGAAGTCAAGTATTTTTCTTGGAAAAGAACTTGATTGGAGTTAAATTTATTGCAAGTATTCTTGAGGTGAGGAAAGCTAATGAAGAAATATGTAGCATATTACAATCAAAAGGCGAGAAAATTATAAAAAAAAGTATACATAAAGAATACATATTATTGATTTGATTCCTTTAGCTTTGTATCTCCCTCTAGTGATTTCGCTGGATTATAACAAGTAATAATCAAAAAAAGAATTGAAAAAACAAACAAACAAAAAAACAAGCACAATAATTTTCTTAAAGAAGAACAGCAATTTTGATCACGGAACTGGACATTATAGGAGGTTAAATCTTTAAAACGCGTGCGTATGTTACCTTCATTTTTTCATCGAAATTGTTGTAAAGCAAAATATTATTTTTGATATTTTCAGGCACGTAGAATTAACAAATGATATCATTTGGAGAATAGAGGGATTCAGAGGATGACAGTTTAACAGGTACAAATCAATCTTCATTCTGTAACTGATTAGAGCTGTTTAGAGCTCATTTTATTTATAAATAAAGGTCGTAATCTTAATTTTCGTGCAGCTAACAACAGTTAAATTTAATTTCAGTCGAATTTTCTCGGGTTTTTGTTGTCAGACGTGAAAATATTTCACTTACATACACTTATAAATTTCATTGGTTTCTGTATATAATTATAGCTCTCGTCAATATCAAAACCAGCTATTATCTCTCGAAAACAAACGAAGTTTGAAACAAAGCTTGAGGTTGAATAAAAAATACACAATCTGTACGTTACTTTTGATATCGTAACATTCACGATATATAGTAATAATAACGGTAATATGGTTGTGGGTGAAACACCGGAATTTTTTCAGTTTTCAAAAAGTGACATCTCCACCGCACGCTGCAAATGTACCATTTATATCTTCACATGTAAAGGTATCAATGTCGTCATTACAGCCGGATTTATCAACATGACAGTTTTACTTCCCATGTAGGCCTTTTTAAAAAAAATTTAAATTTTTTTAACTGAAGCTGAATTCAATTCTTTTTTAAGGAAATAGTAGTTCTTGTAGTGAGAAATTGTTGTATTTCAATGTCCGAAATTGAATTGTTTCCCGGCAAGCTGAGTTTCAGTGCGGTGAGTCTCTGTTTTCGATGCTCCTATTTAAAAATTGTATTTCATTCAAATTTACAATCAAAACTCTTGAATAAAAACGATTACTTTCATCCTCTTTTTATTTTTAACAAAATAGCTCAGTACAACCGATTTAATTTTATTTCTAGCTATGGCAGAAGGTAACCTCCCAACAACGGGAGGAGAACTGGAGGAGAAAAATGAGTTTCCAGCCACAGGTGAGAAAAAGCAACAGGGAAAGACTTATTTGTGGTGATTTTGTACTGTTTATTAATTAAGTATATCTTAATTCTGGTGCACAATTTTTTTGGATCATTTCGATTTGAAGGTTTTTAGAATCTGCCAAATGCGTCAGTATTAGAACGCTAACTGTCAGTGAACATAGTTATGATCACTCAGGCTGACAAAGTTGAAATATCGTCTCGGTAATTTCAGCAACAGAGGAAAGTCAAGTTACGTCAAGTGACGCTGAACTGGATGTATACAATGACCCTTTAAGAGGTAAGAACACCGGGTGAAACAAGATTTTTTGAAGGACGCCCCAGTGAAGTTTTTGTCACATTTACATCAAAATTTGCGTAAGTTCTGTAAATAAGTTTTTTAAACAGCAAAAAGATTGTTTCTTCAAATCCAAACTCTGTTACCAGTAAAATGAAAAACCAAAGGAAAAAACAATTTATTGCTCGATCCGATCAGGTAAAATGCATAGACATTATTAATTATTCGTAACAATAAAGCGACAAATTTGAAGGCGACTTCGCTTTGAAGAGCCCTAACTTAAAGAAGAATCGGCCAAAATTTGCCTACTAGGCTACGTGAAACTCAGTATTCTGAGTTTTAGAAGTGCTTACTTGTAAATCAACGCATAATGTTTTGGAGATTAACGATGTTTCTTAAATTTACACCTAAAATGAGCGATATTTGCGCTGAAAAGGTATTATCCTTTTTGCACTTGAAAGTATTCTAAATTTGGTCACTTTTAGTATGAAAGTCATTTTCGGCAAGAGAGAGCTGTTAGCACCCGTAGACCCGTCAAAGTCGAGTTTTGAAAAATTTGTAAACGGGTAACTTTTTGAGGCCGCCAAAAGGAAAGTATTTACGCTAACACCTTCTTGTACTTTACTGTTCAATACATGTTTGGCAGAAATTTTACGCAATTTGTTCGTATCGCCTGTTTTGGTCCTCTAAATGTTTTACGCCTCTTAAGACAGTTATGTCAATACCAGGCCCACGCTGTAAACCACTAGTCAACAAAATTTAGAACCCCTGACTTTTATAATAGACAAAATGGCACTTCGTGGGAAAGTAGTAATTTCCCTATCAAATTTTTTCCAATTAGCCTATACGAGTATGTTCTCAATAGACAATTAAATGTATGGGAAAAACCAATTACTAATTAAAAAAACAAAAACAAAAACAAAAAACATGTTTTCCGGCGCTCTTTTCTGAAGGATGGGCAAACCACGAACTCTTGTCACTCTCAGCACGATGTTTTTTTTGTTGTCAGAACATTAAAAAGTTTTAACCTTTTCGGTCCTGGCTTTGCTCTGCTTTATGCATTTTTTCTCAGTAACTCATGGGATTTTATATTCTAACTTGATATTTGGAAAGCGTAACGCAGGTGTAAAAGGGTTTTTGGAAAGTCTCTCGACGTAAATGTAAACCGAACAGACTTGATCTGGTTATAACCAAGCTACAGCTAAAACTCCAAATAGCTTGCATATTTTAAAGCGAACAAAATG